CTACTGTCATCTACGGCAATGCAGGGCATACCAAATTTCGGCTGGAAAGTGGAGGTTGCGTACCAAACTCCATTGTCACCGGGCGGCACAGTGAGTATGGACCGTTGCTCACTGGCAGCGATGGCCGCTCAACCGGAAGGAGAAAAATCTGGCGGGGTCTCAGATTGCCAGTGTTGCCCCATTGGAGCCACCTGTGCACATGTTTCTTGGGAAGTACAAGTGGGAGGGGTAAAACGAGTTGTCCTGGAGCTGCGCATTTGGTTTGAACCCAAAGATTCTTGCGGGATCGCTGGTCAGGAGCAACATGGAGCATGCAATGCTCAGCCGTGGGCTGTGCTGCAAAGCGGTTTCATTCGCACATCCATCCTGTTTTTGGACGCCCCATCTTGCGGATGTGTTTGAGGATTTCCGAATTCAAGCATATGCCGCAGTTGGCTTATTTCACACTTCATGCGAATGCTTTTTTTGGCATGCACTGATTCCAAGCACCAGAACGAAGAAACCAGGCACTGGTTCCAAGATGTCAGCTTGGCAGAGTTAAACATGTTTGTAGGAAGACACGCATCAGATGCCCCGGATGAGCTTGCTATTGGAGCAGGAGCAGCAAACAGCACATCAATGATAGATAGCAACTTGAACCAAAAAGAATAGGGCCTGCCCAATTTGCTGATCTGGGCGGGTGTCTTTCTTGCTTCGCACGTAGTTGATCGACGCATCTGAGATACCGGGTGCATGCATTGTGTCTCTGTTTAGAGGAACCACACAAACACACACAAGAGCGTCAAGACTGGACCTCCAAAATGTGTGTTTTCTTTCCGGATTCCCGGTAAATCTACCCGAACACGGGTACCCTGACATGAGTGTCTTTTTGCCTCCTTTGTGAGAAAATGGGCGACCCCCTCAAAAAGGAATCCTTCGCTGAGAGGGGGTCGATCAATTTTCCACAGGCTGCAAAAAGACCCCCCTGGTCCGACGAATCTGTGGAGTGAGCCTTCAGTCGCAGCAAGGATGGCACAGCTTGTACATGTCAAGCTCTTTACATATGGCAGACACACCAAAGTTGCGGCGCCGTGTTTTCGAGACAACGATCAACACTTCTATCGGTGTCCATGGTCCCCGGCCGGCGCCTTGCCTGGCTGCGCGCGAGAGCCACTGGCAGTTTGGGTGGAGCCGGCGGGTACCCCCTCAAACGGGGCCCATGTGGTTGAATTCAGGTTGTCATGTGGTGCGGTTGTGTACAAAAGAAACGAAAAACGGTTTGAGGGCACCCCCTATTGTTTTTAGGTCATGCATGAAAGTGACACTCTCACAGCTTCTCTTCATGGCGGTGAAAGTAATTCTGCGAACCCCAAAAAGGCTCCAATTGGTTTCAGCCAGCTGCCTTTGAGTTGAACAGCCAAAGTCCGGGAGCTTGTCTTCATCCACTCAAACAATCTCCCACGAGGATGAAACCACGAAATTGCCAGGAAGATGTTTCCTTGAGCGTCTTCGGAAGGTTAAAAGCATCCTTTTCGGGAGGGCTGTCCCAGTCGCCGCAAGAGCCGGGTGCAAACGTGCGAGCCTTGTGAAGCGAGTGAGAAAACCAGATTCGCATGGTATCCGACGAAATCTCAGCCGTTTTCCGATCTGCTAAAAGTTGAACACATCCGTGGGTCAAATAAAAACCCAACCACTAAACCAACTACAAAGCTAAAAGCCTAGGGAAAGGTCGAACCGCCCAGTTTAGATTCCGAGGGTGTGGCTCAAAGCATCTCAACAGGACTGCCAGAAACCGAAAGGGGGCTACCAGCAACTTATACCCAATCTGCAATCCGAGGGAGCTACCAGAAAACCATACCCCAAGCTGGGCTGTTCAAAATGGAGGGTTGGCCAATCCTAATCCATAATCCCTATAGGAAAGCCACTACAAAGGGGCCCTTTTGCGTAACCCCAGGCCTTTGAACAGCCCAGCCAAGTTGGGACCGTTCTTCACATTTGCCTAGGATTTTGTTGTGGGCTCCCTTCGGAGGCCATGATTTACATACTTCTAGGGGTTGATTCCTTTTCCATTCTTTTCAACCAACGTTCTTTTCAAAAACTAGCTGTTTCCCCTGGGGTTCTGATAGTTTTCTGGAAAGAAGGATCCCCGGAAAGAATGGGGAAGTGTCCCCTAGAATACTGTGGATGGTTGCGAAATCCATTTCGCGCCACTTTGAAACGGACACCATTGCTTGTTGGTATTTGTGGGGGGAATCATCCTTCCAGGGTTTCTTAGGTGGTGCAGGATTTCGTCCATCCACAGTAGGGATGTATCTCTTGAGGAAGTTCCACTTTGGGGCGAATTTTGGAATGAGGTCCAAGAGAACAGAAAGGTGGCGTGGCTAATTTGCACAGGTCACGTCACAAATACCTTTCTCCTTTAAAAGCCGCTTCCCTCCACGGCCCAAGGCCCTTCCTGACTGGAGGACTCGCAAAAAGCTGCTCTGCTGAATGACGTGGAGCCCAAAAGGGAGGTCCACCCAAGGACTTCCAAAGACCGACCAGCTTTTGGGGTTCCGTGGAATTATACGCAGGGGATTCACCAACAACTTCTAGAGGACATTGCAGGTGGACAATTGGGAAGCCAGTGCAAGCCATTCGCTCGTATACTGGCAAAAAAAAAGTTTAACAAAACCTCCGGTAGTTGAATTCAACTGACGCCTGTTTCTTTCAGACCTTGAACATACCACTTTTATGGCAGCATCAAAATTAACGCCGCAGGCAACCAAAGATGTGTTTCCTGACTGTGGGCACATTCCTGCGTGCCACAAGCCCAAGCTTCCCCCTCTTGAGTGTTCGGTCTAAGTTCAGACGTGGTTAGCCACTCACACACGCACTCCCAGGTCCTCCAGTAGAGAGGTTAGAACAAGGGTACACTTTTTTCTGCAGTCTGTTTTAGTAGGGCAACACTCCCCCAAAAAAAGGTGAGAGAGGCAACTACTGGGGGCCCTAGACTCAGACTCAGGGGGTAAGCCCATCGAAATCGGAGAGTGGCCTCCCGTAGAGCCTCTTTGGTCAGCGACCACTCTGACAGGTTTGGCCCTGGCCAAATTGGTTCCCGAGTATACTGGAACTGCCACACACACACAAACACAAACACAAACACACAAACACACAAACACACAACGCACAACGCACAAAAAAACAAATAAATAAACAAACAAACAGACAAACAAAAACACACAAACTCAAGCACGAAACAAGCACAAAAACACACACAGAAACAAACAGACGGACAGGACAGAGACAGAGACGGAGACAGAGACAGAGACAGAGACAGAGACAAAGACAGAGACAGAGACAGAGACAGAGACAGAGACAGAGACAGAGACAGGACAGAGACACACACGCACAAAGGTTAACTTCACTAGGAAATGGGTTGCAACTTAGAACTTAGGTTACTACCAACTCACCAAGGTGGCCATAAGCACCCGAGTTCTGCGTGCCCAAATATTGGTCCGTCGGGCACCCCGGCCCCAACCGCTGGAGGACAGAAAGCTTGACGAGGAAGCAGGCAACATGATGGCCGGAGCCGCCTGCGTGCAGAAAGAACGCCACCTACCACTCACGGCCATGGATCCCTGAAACTACAACATGTTTGTGAGTGATTCTCGAAATTTAGGTGCTCCATTTTCGCCGACACCCATGCACCCTCAGTCAGAAGCCAAATGATTCAATTGTGACGCATCATTGCCACGCCGGATACAATGAGAAAGTCTGTGCGAACCTTCTGCTGCCCTGCAAAGCAACGCCGAACACCGAACACCATAGTTCTGCAGCGCATCTTGGCAGACCCCTTTTTTGGAGTTCATATTAACTTGCAGGGGAGTATGCATCTAACCGAATCGAGTACCTGGATGCAAAAACAAATGGCATCCCAACCTATTGCATTCTCTGCTTCAGTATCCTTCCTTCCCCGCCACCTTTCCTTCCGTTCCTCTTCTTGCGTTCCTTTGTGAGCGCGGACCAATCGTTCAACAGGCGAACGGTTGTGAAACGTGTTGAATGGGATTTGCGCCGACAGCCAACAACACGCGTGCGGGAAATAAGTGTTGTAAGTCCGACCTCGTTTGCACGCCGCCCTGAACCTGGAGCGCCCCAGACCACTTATGCACATCCCAGGTCGATCATTGTTGGACGTCAAGAAACCTGGAAGGAGCGAACGGAACACCCGGGTGAAAGCTTGACTAGGTCCAGTAGAGAGGTTAGAATAACGGTACCCTTTTTCCTGCAGTCTATTTTAGTAGGGGAACCCTCCTCCAACAAAGAAATGGTAAAAGGGCACTACTGGGGGACCTGGTTGAGATTTCGTGGAGCAGACGCGCCGCACTTCTTCCAAAGCGGGTCCGACTGTACATGCCCTGCTTCGCCTACGAGCTACGAGTTCGTGCCCGTTTCGGCCTGAGATGGGATCCAAAGGATTCCAACCATACGCCTCCGTTTTGGTTCGGACATGGATGGACTTCTTGGCACATGGGGTCGCCAAAGTTGATGCACTCCAAAATGAGTGAGTTCAAGGACTTGTTGGACCCCTTTTTTTGCCCCATTCTTTTGGACATCTTTCGAGCAAATCTTCGGCCATCTCCGCTCGCACTAACAGCTCTCGGCCGTAGAAGTGCCACACATCCTAAGCCCTCGGCTTCAGCCTTGGGCCTTTCGCGCTAAAGCAACGATCGTGGGGTTTGGCTCAAGATTGACTTGGGTGTGTCTTTTTGAGGGAACCCTCCAAACTGGCTTTGTTTTTTGTTCCCTGGTTTCCCCGTACCATGCCAAACGGGGTACTCAGCCTCACAAAAAAAAACTCAAAAAAGCGAAATGTGAGCCACCTGCTTGAAACAAACATTGGGGATCAACATCCACACTTGGCTGTTGGCTGAAGGCCAAGGAAGGGAAGGAACGCTCCGCTGGGAACTGGCGAATCCACTTCTGTGATACTTTTCACAAAGAGCCTTCCAAAGACCTTCAACCCCCCATACAAAGAGGGGATTCCCAAAAGTATCACAGAAAGTGATCCCACAAAGCCCTGGTTCCTAAGGCTCACTCGGAGGGCAGGACCTGCAGAAAGACCTCCTCCCACTCCTTCTCCAGGCCCTTTGGCGGCAGCCGAGCCAGAAGGCTCTGACACAGGTCCTGGGCTTGCGCTCTCGCGGTTCCAAAAACGAGAGACCGACGTGAGAGGTGGCAGAATCAAACCTGGTATTAAAATGCGTAAAGAACGAAAAAGAAGGCGGATATCTGTACCCATTTATGGTTGGGTATAACAAAAATACCAAGCTTCATCTGCCCGGATTTTGATTGTGGTCAACATCATACTGTGGATGGCTGTGACATCCTCTTGGGCACCACCGTTCAGAAACCCTGGAATTGTTCGATCCCCCTGCACATGCCAACTAGCAATGGTTTCAACCATGGTTTCAAAGTGGTCCATCCACAGTATGGGTGCAAATATGTGCAAATGTTTAGTTCGGGACCCTCGGCAAAGCACCGTTTAGGTGGGGATGTGTGTCCACCAACCATTTGGGAGGGTAGTCCTCATGAAAGTTCATTGTCACATGCGTGCGAGAGGGTCGGGTGGTTGGGTTCCAGCTGAAAAAGGGTAAGCCTCTGTAAATGGAACCCAGTCTTCCAAAGCGGTCCTGGGAGCTTCCATGTTAGTCTGGGGGAGGGTAGACCAGTGGAACCCCTCGATTTTTCACCAAACCAACCGATCAAAAGGGGTTCCCCTGGTTAAAAAAAACAAAAACATCTAAACCAGTGGAAAACCCCTCGATTTTTAGCCAAACTCAGCGATCCAAAGGACGCAGATGGTTCCAGGCCTTCCCTCGAAACCCAGAGGAGCCAAGCCCTTGCCCAAGCTGCTGGATCCAGCATGGACTGCGCGGTGGCAACCACGTGCTTCAGGATGGGCTGTGCCAACCTCGGCGCGCAAAGGGAGATGAAGACAGGGGTTTTAGAGTGGTTTGGAGTGTTTTTTTGGCTTTTTTCCCCGAGTGCTTCAGAGTGAATTATTTTGAGTTATCAATGTAACATTGCCTTGAATTGGGGAGTCGGTTGTGGGGGGGTCGCCTCAGGGAGCCCTGAGATATGAAAAAAAAACAAAACTCGCAGCTGGAACTGGTCCCGGAGAGACCCGAGAAATCCCGCAAACTTGGCACATCACCTGGAGTTGCTGGGCCGCATCACAGAAACAACTGGTCGCGTAGCATGGAGGTTGGGAACACGCAAACGCATGATACTCTTTCTGCATGAAGGGGTCGCGGAAGCCATGTATCCAGGTGAAGCATCTCCGAGCCACGATGTGTGCATCCGACATGGCAGCAACGCTCCGAGACAAACCGCCGACTCCCGGAACTGGAAGACCCCGTGTCACCGCATGAATTTCACCTGGACATTCCGAACAGCAGGCAACCCTCAGCTGCTAAGCAACGTGGTGCATTGACCTGCGGCCTCGGGGGGTGCCGTATTTTTTGTCCTTGCCAGCTGGGACTAAGCACCATACAACTCTTGCATAGCTTTGCGTTGGAATAAAGCCTGAATGAATCGCGTTCTCGTTGTTGGCATGAGGTTCCAACAAGAAACACGCAGCTTCCACGTGGCACATTTCACTAGCGAGACGCTCTGGGGTAAAATCATTGCCGTTGCGCTTCTTAGCGCCAGCTTCCAGCAAGAAACTCATTCCACATGCCTGTTTTGACAGCAACATGCGCGTCAAGCCCTTGTTGGTGCCCTTGGCTTTGTCCGCCAGCTTGCAACAAGCAATGCACAACTTCGGCATGTCCGTGTTGACAAGCAACATATATGGATGTAAACCCATCATTGGAGACTTTGTCCTTCTCGGCACCAACTTCCAACAAACAATTCACAACTTCCACATGGCCGCTTTGACGAGCAAAATGCGTGTTGGCACCCGTGTACAAGCAAACACACAACTTCCACATGTCACCGTGTTGACACGCACTATATATATGTATATATATATATATGAGTATGTATGTATGGGTGTGTAGCCCTTTGTCCTTCTTGGCACCAGCTTCCAACAAGCAACGCACAACTTCCACATGTCCCATGTCTGTGTTCAGAAGCAAAATGCATTGGCATGGTGCCCTTGTCCTCGTCAGCACCGGCTTCCCACAACCAAGGCGCCACTTCCACATGGCCGCTTTGACCAGCAAAATGAAATGGAAATGCAGGCATCATGCGCGATCTCACTTTGGGTGCCATCCAACAAGCAGTCCGCAAACAACTCCCGCATGGCAGTTTCTTGGTTGACGTTGGAAGGGGAGCAAAATCTCTCATTTTTTAGCAGTTAAGTGGTTGGATTTCCCCCACTAAACCACAATAAGCAAAAAAACAACAACATGTGTCCCAACAACAACCATGGTTTGAACAAGCAGGGAGGCCAACGAGCAACTCCAAGGTTCCTGGCTTGGAGGACACTCGATCTGAACATGACCCACCTTTTCTGGTGCCGAAGGGGCGTCTTCATATCCAGCTGCTGTGGGGATAGCGCGTCCAGCAGGTTCTGCACCGCTAGAGTCATGCCTGCAGGAGGAAACATAAGCAGCGCAGATGTGTGGCAGGAGCACACTTCTAGAGGATTGCCTTGGTTGGAAGGTTCATTCCCTTCTCCCTGATGCAAACAAACCAGATTCACGCCCCATGGCGACTCTCCAATGCAATTTAAAGTCCTGCTGTTCGGACGCCGGTTCTCGACAAGCTCACAAAAGTCATGACCCCGAGAGCAAACGTGCAACCTGACAAAGAGTCCCCTTGAAAGCACAATAGTCCTCCACACATCCACTATCAATGTCTTAAGATGTTGGAACCTCTTATGGATGCAGTTGTTGCATTTCGGGCAAAACCAAAAACACCAACCATGCGTACGGGTACCCCGTTTTCCGAACGCACCCATGTACAGGGGTCACTGGGTATCAGATCAATTTGCTGGTGGGTCCCACTGAAACTGCCACTTTTGTTGAAGAAGGAGGGGTGATTAATCCGGGGTTAACAATATGTGGCAGGCTCTTGCAGGTTCTAGCTGGTCGAAAACTCAAATGGCAACGGAGGTTCAACCCTCCACAAAGACGCACGCACATTCCCCCAGAACGGATCCCAACAAATCAGACCCTCCCCCCCCGCCTTCCACGAAGCTTCGGCACTCTTCCTCGAAGACCCTCTTCATCTCCTCCTGGGTTGAGCCAACCTGTCTAAACACCTTTGAAGTATACATGGGGCTGTCTAAAAGGGGGGCCCCGAAAAATCCCCCAAGATGGCTAGGTCTTTTTTCCTTTGGTGTCTCTAGAAAAAAAGAAACGCCACCCCGAAAGGGGCAATTTCAAAAAAGGACAAAGGTTATTACTTGCACTAAGGGATTGAGCTCCTTCTGCTCTCTATTCGCGTGGGAACTTGCGGGTGATGTGGGCTTGTCTCCAAATCGGAAGCCCAAAATTTGCGGTTTGCCTTTGGCCTCTCGTCAGACACCGAAAAATGAAAAAAACAAAAGACACAGGCACTCTGTCCTGGTTCTTCATGGCGGCTTCATCGCCACAAATCTCGCTCGCCAGCGACATGTGCCGCGAGACCTAAGGGTTCTTTGGTCGACCCCTCGCCCAGAGTTGCTTGAGGGAGCTTCTTGCTGGAAAACGGCCCAGCATTGCTTTCTCTTTCAGGTACCTTTTAACGTGGCTGTTGCTGCTTGTTTGTGTTCATTTACTTATGTATTCATTTCTTTAATAATCTGCCATTTTCCAAAAGGTTGAAGTGGGTGGCTCTTCTTTTTTGAGGGCACCTTTTTTTGGGGTTTGTTTCCAGAGAAAACAAAAGAACACCACTGTTTGGGAAGGGTCCCCCAGAAAGACTCCCATGTCCTTGTGCTCCATCTCACGAAATGGCACCAAAAGGTTAAAAAGTTAGTTCGACACCGAAGGTGAGTAGGTCAGTAACCTGTTCCCCCCCACTGCTCTCCCCCGGGCAATCATCTCCCTTTCCCAAGCACCCCAAGCACACCGATCCCAGCTTGGGTCTATTTTAGTCCCCCCCGCCAAGACACCAATCCCAGTGGTCCATATATGGATGTATCAAGTGTATTCATTTTAGTCCCCCCCCCCCCGCCCCCGCCCAAGGCACCGATCCCAGTATGGGTCCATATTTGGACGTGTCAATGTTATTCGTGTTGTCCCCTTGTTCTGTTTCCTGCAAAGCCCAAAGTGGACACCCCCGACCCCCGCTGGACGCGACTTCACGCTCCCATCCCCCGGGGTTTGCCATGCGGCGATCCGGTCCCAGCAGGGCACCTGGGCCAAGCGCAGGCGCATGAAGCGCCCCACCGCCTCCAGGAGCCTCTTCCAGGCCTCTTCCTGCGGCGTGTTTTTTTTTTTTGGCGCGGGGTCCGGCGTGGCTCGTCCTGCTTTTTTTGGGGGGGGTTGAGACCCTCAAAATGGCGCAAGGGGTCTTCTTAATTATTGGCTTCAATCGGTTTTAGGGTTGTTGACCCTCCAACTGGCGCAAAGGTGTTCCTAGATTGGCTTCAAAACCCACCAAACATGGGGTACCCCCCCTTAAAAAAAAAGAGACACGCCCAGAAAGGACTTGGGAAAGTGCTGGTTCGTCGCCCTGGTGTTTCTTTGTGGGAAACTGAGTAAGTCCCCCGGTTTCGTCGCCCTCTGTGAGAAATTCGTGGGTCCCCCTCATACCAAGGCACTAGGGATGTGGAACTGTAACCGTGGCAATTTGATTGAATTCCTTCGTCTACCAGAGATCCCCGATTTTAGGGCCTTGCTTTGAAAATCTCGACCCACCATAAAAAATACGCCAACAAAAAAAAAATGTACCAAAATCCCATCCACCCCCAACCCCACCATCCAACAAAACCACCCCCAAAACGCGCCCCATGCACGGACCCCCGCCCACGGACCCCTCCCCTCCTGGAGCTGGTCGTCCAGAAAGGATGCCGCCACCCCGAAGTACCAGACCTCCACCAACTCCGGCACCTCGCGCTTTGACACGGCAGGAAGGTCCGGACTGGAAACCAAAGGAAATCAATCTGATTCCGCATTGTCAGAAATGGGTGGCTCTGTTTTTGGGGTACCCCGTCCTGATGGTTTCCTTTCAAAACCAGCAAAGGCATGCCCTAATGATGGTTCCAAATCTAGGTCCTCCAATAGGAAGGTTAGATTAAGTTGGTACCCATCTTTTTCTGCTTTGTCTATTTTAGTAGGGGAACCCTCCCCCAAAAAAGGGTGAGAGAGGCAACTAGGTGAAGGTCGACGATTTAGACCATTCGATCTGCAGCAGATGGCTTAATTCCCGGTGGATGTGGAAGCGTAAAGGGGACGACGAGTGACCCACGTGGTTTGGAATCGTGCCAGCAAACGTCACCCACCTGTAGCGGTCTTCCGGGGAAAGTGCCCATAGCCAATTGCTTTTTTCGGCCCAAGTGGTTACCTTTGAAGCTGGCCTCTTTCCAACAATCGAAGTTGAGGGATGGAAGACGAAAGCCATCCTCTTGGAAAGGCCCTTCCACTTCCGTGTGGATGGTTTGACTGGTATAAACCACCTGAGTGGTGCAGGGTGCTATACATCCACAGTATCATATGGGTGTTTCTCAAAATACGGTTCCCTTAAAATGGTTGGGTTACTTCTAGTTTCCCTTCATACCCATACCGAAAACCAACCTGTTTTCTCCCAGCCTCTCCCTCCGCAGATCTCAGCTCCGCGTTGCAGAAGCGCACCCGCGTCTGCGTGCGCTCCTGGTGCCGCGGGAAGGCGGGAAGAACTGCGAGGGAAGGAGTCAAACGTGTCAAACCCCTCTTCATGGGGGCTGGGGGCTGGGGGCTGGGGGCTGGGGCTGGGGGCTGGGGGGGGGCTGGGGGCTGGGGGCTTGGGGCTTGGGGGCTGGGGGCTGGGGGCTGGGGGCTGGGGGCTGGGGGCTGGGGGCTGGGGTTGGGGAGCCCAAATAAGGCATTTGTTCAGCCCTTAAGGCTTGACCTCCGGTTTGACCCCGCACTTGAGCTTTGACCCCAGTCTCCTTTGCTCGGATTGGGATGCTCCGCCTCCAGTCCTTTGAGGCTCGACCATCGAATAATCGCCTTGTACCAACGAAACCCGAACCAGTAGGCTTTTGGGCCTCATGGATCTTGGTACAGCGAACTCCGGCCCCTCAAAACACCGCCATTCCAACCGGGCTGTTTCTCAGCGAGCACGACAGCACATGACCCCTCAGGGTTCTGATTCATCTGAGCCTCGGAGGAATGCACCCCCTTGCCATGAACTGGGGCCGTCTTGTTGAGTCATGTTCAAATGTTCAAAAGGAAGCCCCAGCATGCCGCAAGCATTCCAAAACGGGATGGGAATGGTTGACCAATCAAATGACTCCTTTACTCCATCCAGCTCCCATCTCTGCTGGGTGGGATGGGCCAACCCAAGCGTTCAACAGGGCCACCAAAAGCCCCCAAACCCACCGCCTCCTTGGTGCCCTCCAGGAACTCGAGCAGAACTTGCACCGCCACCTGCCCAAATCCGCGGCCCGCAAGGTCAGAAAGGAGTCGCCTTCCAAGTCTGTGCATTTCCATTGGTGCCCAATTGAGCAGCGCCCAGAACCCAGTGAGGGTTGGTTCTACCTCATAGGCACCCCAAAACAAACCAAACAAACGCGGACATTTTAACTAGCCGCTTACTTTAGGGCCCACAAAAAATTGTGGTTTTGCTTCTTGGCGTCCTTTGAACCCCACCCCGAAGAGAAAGGAAAAGAAAACGGCACCCTTCCGGGGAAAAAAAATCGAGGGCTCCCACCTCCGGTTGCACCTCTTCGCCGGTCGAAGGGTGCTTAACAGGACCTAAGGCGAGCGACTCAAGCGATCGACTCGCGATCGCCTCGTAGGCCAAGGGCAGCACCAGCGCCGGGAAGAGCTTTCGGAACACCTCCACGCTGTGCCTCGGGCGAGAGAAACGATGAGCGAAGGCCCGAAGGCCTGAAGCGGCGGAATGGGATCTGCAACCCTTGGGTTTGTTGTTCAATCGAATCCTAGGGTGGATACATTTTAAACAAAAAAAAAGGGGGGTAGAACCAATCCTAGGGTGGATTTGTTGGCTAAACCAACAAAATAGAACCCAACGCAAGGTGTTTGGTTAAGACACAAGATGGTCATAGAAGATGCTGTGGACGGAAGAAATCCACCTCGCACCAACTGGGTGGATCAACCCCTATGAAAAATCCAAAGCTATGATGATTGGAAAACAACCTCCTCTTTATCCACTTTGTTGGGTGGACAAGGGTCTTTCCCAAAAGGAAGGCAGTCTCCCAAAACCTTCCTGTCAGCTTCCGTTGGAGGGATAGCAAAGGCCTTTGAGAGTCCCTAACCTGCCCGCGAACGTAGCTGCCTAAGTGCCAAACAATTCCCATGAGGGGATTCCCAAGTACTGCGGATGGTTGCGAAATCAGAAAAACTATGGATTTCAAAACCGTTTTTTGTATGTCGTTCTTGCGAAGCAGAGTTCAAATTTCCAGAGATATCAACGAACGCGGCCACCTCAGGACCTTGGAGGCTTTCCAGCGCTCCGCCTTACACCAATCCCCCCAAGTGCTCCGCAAGCCGTGACCTATTCTAGCGGAAAACGTGGAGGTTAAACAGGGGCTTTATATGGATGTACTTTTTCGGGGTTCCGGTGGTCGCCTGAACTGAAGGCCCAGGCAACGGGCAGAAGGCCAAAACAAAATCCAACATCAACGCCGTCCCTCTGACCTGAGTCACGCTCCGGGACTCACAACAAAGCTCAAAAAGCTCAATGCTCTTTAAACATGTCACAAAGCAGGGAACTTCGGCAACAGCCTTCTCCCATCCGAACAACTCGAGAAGGTAGGTCGGGGCCAAAGACTTCAGGCAAAGCACATGGCCAAAGCACAGGCTGGTTCACATCTGTTTGGGTTGGAAACGAAAAATGAACGCTATGCGCTGTATAGCCACGCCGCTCAAACACTGTGCAACCGCAACGCATTGCCCCCCCGCAAACCGCCCCAACCGCCCGGACAGTGGGAGGACGTCGATGGGCACCATGCTTCCCCCAACTGTGGAGTTATCCGATGCTGGTGCGGCTAGCGAACAACGCAAAACTACTCTAAGGGGTTTTTGTATTACATTGTGGGAATACACCCACTGGGTAGACCCCATTTAGGCACATGTCCGGATAAAACCGTGTTACTTTGAACCATTCTGGGTCATGTCCCCTGAGAACGACTCCCCCGAAACAAAGCCAAGGCGTGACAGCTGACTTTGGTGAGCGTATTCAACCGGATACACCCAGGCACCCAGGCTCCCAGGTGGTCGGATTCCGAATAAATCGACCCGTCCCTCACAATCTGGATCCCCATCGAAAAAGGCTTCCACCCAACAAAGTCAAACAAAGGCCTCACCGCGGGAAAAAGCGTATTAGATCCAGCCCTGTTTTCAGCTTGCTTTCACCAGAATCACAATGAAAGAGTCAGGGGTGTGTAATGCTTCATGAAAATTGAACCAGTGTGAAAGTAGATGACGCAGTTCTCTGTGTGTAAGTACGGATGACAGGGCTTGCTGGATTTCCCCTTCAAGAGTTGCATTTTACCCTTTGTACCTCTTGAAACTGCCACTTTTAAAGAATTCCAAAAAGAAATGGAGGAAACCCTGGACGAACTGCCACTTTTGCAGGCTCCAAAAACGAAGATGGAGGAAAGGGCTCGCTGGATTTCCCACTTTTAAAGAATCCAAAAAATGAAAAAAGAGGAAACCCTGGATGACTCCACCAGACTGTGGAAGTTGTGCCCGCCCGTTTCGCAAACGCCGGGCAAAAAACCATCGAGGCAGAGGCACTTGGCGTCTCGCAAACGGTCGCTCTTCACCAAGGCCTCTGTGCGCAGGGCCAACAAGTTGGCCAGCACCGCGCCGTCCACCACGTCCTCCGTCCCAAATTTTTGGACGGGACGCGCCGCTACGTTGGTTTGGGAGGGCCAAAAGCGAATGGTGGGTAGAAAAAGGAAAATCCACTTGTTTCCAAAAACTTCGTGCAAAGATCCGTCCGTGTTTTTAGACGCGCTTTGGGAGGGGCCATCGGCTTTTGTGGGTTGCTGTAAAAAACCCTTTTGCAAAAAGCGAAGCACTTTTGGTGAGTAGAAAAGGGAAAATCCGAGCTGTGTCAACCAAAAAGTGAGTCCAAAGATGCGACCAAATAGCCGTAAAGATCAGTGCCTATGGTCATTCATCCCCATTCTTGACGAGAGAAAGGGGTTAGGCCGGAACATGAGTCAAAACCAGAACCCATCTATGTGGAACACATTTGGGCAAAGCGCAAACTGGCTCTAGGCAGCACAACTTCTCATATCCATGAACCTCTGCAATCGGAGAAGGCCAGGATGATGCGGTCAAGGGCATCGGGAGAGGGACAGTGGGTAGCACGGAATGCCATCGTTTTTCTAAACCTGGAAAGCTAGCAGCGGAATCCATGCACCCAAGCATCTGTGCGCGCGTTCTCAGCCACGTACCTGAGCAGGGAGGCGACAAAGGGTCACGGCCACCAACCAGTTTATCAACAGGGGGGGGTGCTTCTCCCTGGCTTTAGTGGTTGGAATCAGACCACTTTTGGAGGGAACACCCCATAGTCCTACTGCTTCCTCTGAATCCGTGCCCAAATGGAGTTATTTGTCGCAGAAATGCTGAAGGAATGAGCCACCAAGGTAAAACATCCAATAATCCGAACAACGAACCAAACGCCAAATGGCAACAACAACATGCTGACACTATGACTATGGCTCAAAGTGTGCCAAAGCAGAGAACCGAACATGGCCCAAAAGGGCGATGCGTCGTGGGGCGACGAGTCAACTCGGGTGGTTTAAACCAATTCTGCAGCAAGAAGCGTGTCAAACATTGATCGACGTTCTGGGCTTCAAAGAAACTGCCGAAGCTCCGAATTTGGAAGGGGAGGAACCCCTTGGGCGCTGCTCATGTGAAACCGGGTCTTGGTGAAGGAAGTTTGTCGAGGAAACCGGACTTAACCCAAGCGTTTTTCTTGGCCGGAAGAGCAGCCCAGATATCACAAAGGAGTTGATCGGTTATTTAGTTTAGTTAGAAATGGATGGGTTCCACTGGTTTAGATTGGGTTTTATAACCCATTTTCCAGGGCCATGACTTTGGGATCTACCAAACATGCAAAGGTCCTAACCCACATGAAACCAGGTACAAGTAGAACCAACTCCCACAAAGGCCACTTGACTAGTGCCTCTTAAAACCCTGGGATGTGGAAAATAGCCCTTTCTGTGATGCCCAAAATGGGCCATCCCCATGACTACGTTCTGCCTTTACCGGATTCGGGTTCCCTTGGTACCACAGAATATGATGAGGCAAAAAAACGGGGAATCCCCTGAAATTGGGCGGGGTTCCTTGCGCTTCCCCTTCAAACCAACCTGAAAGAGGGGTGCCCTCAAGAAAAACAATACACCCATTGGGTGCGGTCCCTCTTTTTACACAAAAAAAACAAAATGATGATTTTCCTCTGGGTTTCCCTTGAAACCCACAAAAACCAGGGGATACCCTCCACAAATCACAGACCACCCCCCCCCGCCGCCCGTTTTCCTGCACTCAGCTCGGCCGGGCCGCGGCTCGGTGCGGCTCACCACTTGCCTCCAGTCTTTGGCGTCTGCAAATGCCACGCAGTCCATGCGGTCCATCACGGCCTTGTCCTTCAAAGGCTCTGCGTCTGTGAAGTCTTGGATGTCCTGCCACACTGTCCCCCCCCCGATCCCTTCATCCTTTCCCCAGCCCCCCCACCCCGCCCTCCTTTAAAGGATGAGCTTCTTACAACCCGATGATAATCACAGACATGGAGCATCCTTGCACATGGAAGCTGAAGGAGCTATTTTGGGCTGTCCGGTTCCGTCGTCGGGGAGGCTTTCTTGGAGCTTTGGGTTTCATGTTTCCTCAATTCACATCACCTTGGATGGCCGTGAACTCTCTCGAGCTACCCGAAAACTTCCCGGAAAAACAAAGAAAAAAAAGAGAAGAAAAAAAAGAAGAAGAACAAAAAACGACACTCACCACCTTCCCCCTACGCAATCGAACAGGCGGTCCCACTTGAACCGGTGTTGTTCTTGCATGGACATCGAGCACTTCTGTGATACCGGGGGCCGTCCTATCACAGGAGTGCCGCGTCCTTCACACCTGTTGGGGCAACTCGCCGATTCCGGAAGGCAGTTGAGCCCCGAAGGAAATGAGACATTGGGAGATTCCCCTGGCTTTGTGTGGGAAACTATGCTCTCCATAGGCGTCCTTTATAGATGGCCCTGGTAGATTTAACCACCAGGTAAACCAGGGCCGTCTATTTTTCTACCAAAACAACCAAAAAGGACACCTATGATGCTCTCACAAATGGACCATGGACTGCTGGATTATTTGGGAATGTGCCGACATAGGAGGACCCAACAAATATGTGACATCCCGAAAAGCAATCCAAAAAGTGCACCGATCCTCAAAACAACCACACGCCCGGGATTGATCCCCACTCGGATGTCCGGCCAAGTTCGTAAGTGGTTAGCCACCTGGGTCCACCTTCCCACGGAGGTCTCCATTTGCCGAATACCTCCCCTGACGCAAAAACCTCTCTCCAGTGATAGATTCCCTTCAAAACCAGGGGCAAAGCAAAAAACAAAAGCTCCTCCCAACTCCCTCCCCACATGGCTGGGCCTTTCATTCGGGGGTGAGACCAAAACATCGACCAAAGCATCGACCCACACACCGATCCCCCCCGTGGCTTCTCGCCTTGCAGCAGTCCGAGAGCTTTTGGCGGATCCGCTCCAGCAGCGGCAGATCCGGGAAGAGGCTGTGCCTGTGTTGGTGCAACGACCCCTCTGCAAAAAGTGATTCACTTTTTGTGGGTTTAGTGAAAAAACCCAAAAAAGTTGAAGTCTAAAGATCCAACCCAATAGCAGTCAAGGTGCAGGGCGTCCATGGAAGCGCCCCGCGTCAGCAGCAGCTCGCTGAACCTTGAAGGAGTCGGATGGGATGGGATGGGATGGGATGGGATGGGATGGGATGGGATGGGATGGGATGGGATGGGATGGGATGGGATGGGATGGGATGGGATGGGATGGGATGGGATGGGATGGGATGGGATGGGATGGGATGGGATGGGATGGGATGGGATGGGATGGGATGGGATGGGATGGGATGGGATGGGATGGGATGGGATGGGATGGGATGGGATGGGATGGGATGGGGATGGATGGATGGCTGGATGGATGGGGGGGGAAGAAAAGAAATCCGGAGCCCACCGGCACAATTTAGCCGGACAATGAGAAACCACCAAAGACCAGATCCTGGCGAAACCTGGAAAAGCATACAAAGGAAATGCCATCTTGGAGGACTGCACACTTGCTCTTGGCCTTGTTCCCCACCTGCGTTTCCCAGCTGAAGAGGTAGGCCAACAGGGGCATTTCTCCAGCTGCAGGAATTTCTACAGGACATTGGCTAAACACCACCGAAAACAAAAATATCCTGTATCTGGCTTCTTATATTTTTGGGATTCACCCCAAACAAAATGCAAAATTTCGATGCCACTGGAGTTCAAGACTGTCACCTTGTGAGCCGAGGGCCGAAATAGCAGTGTTTTTTTTGTGTCTGTTGTTGGAACTTAGGTCACAACCCGCCCATATCGAAGGGTGGAAGTACAAACCCCTTGTTCATACCCCTTGGCTTCCCTGGTTTCCAACCCACTTTATATTGGTATAAACTCCTTTTCGGGAGAGGGGTATGAACATCAGCGCGCCTTTTGGGTTCATTTGCGCAAGGGGTATGTAAGGGGTATGTTCAAGCACCCCTGGATAGTAGGCCCTAAGTGGAATTGTTATTAGTGGGGTACAACCCAAGTAGCCAACCACTAACTTCCCCGAGCGTAAAAGTAGGAATAGATCCATATGGAGATTCCTCCGATTGATCCGAAGCAAAAAAAAAGTGTGGAGTTGGTTTCCACAGTTGGTTCAACAAGTGTGCAAGCAAACACATCAACAGGTTTGACAATATCATGTTTGCTGAGCCAATCGCTAATCACATTGCAGGGGTCCTTACATGGCCTTTCTTGGATGATTCAAACATCACCAGTTGAGACGTTTCAACATTGGATTTCTTGGTGTGATGATGTTTTGCAGGACAAACAAGGACCAATGCAGGCAAACCACAGCCCATCCTTCAGTTGCAAACCAGCAGGGTTGGTTCAATCACCAGCACTGGCCAACTATGTTGAAGGTTCCTTGTACGGGCACACAGAAGCAAGTTCAGGAATTTGCATACAATCGACAAACCTCTGCTGCATCGCTTGCTCACCACTGAAGGCGTGCACTCGATCATAATATTTTTTTTTAAAAAAAAAGCGTGCTGGCATCAAGCTCTTATTGTGTCTGCTGGCTCAAACAAAGAGAATGGCAAAACTTGCAAGAGAAAGGTTCCTAAGTTATCTGGATTCAGAGAAGAAAACTCACGGGGAATCTATAGAATGGTTGTCTTACATGGTCAATCCTCGACCTCCGAGCGCGTGCACGTGACAAGCGAAGCCGTGCGGCCAAGTGGCTTGTAGCGAAACCGAGCGGCGTTGGACAAGAGATGGTTCTTGCCCCGGGCAAAAGCCACCTGCAACGGGGGGCGGCTCACTCGACTTTTGAGTTGGGCTTCCTTTTTGGTTGGCTTTAAAGGGAAACCAAAAAGAAATCCACCATTTTGGGGGGGTCCCCAACACAACAAACACCCAAATGGTTAACACCTACACAGGCTGAGGGCCAGAACTCGCATTGACGGTGCGCAAATTCGCTCAAACGGCCCACATATTTGTGTTGTTTGCAGAGCGCACAAACGGCCGATTGCTGTACGGTTGAACACTCCTCATACCAAAATACATGAGTCGGTTCGGCAAAAGAACGCCCTCCACTCGCGTTGGACTTCCGCGTCTTCCAGGGGCCCAGTCTTCGGCAAGCCCAGGGTCCACTTTCACTCTAAAAGGCAACAAAGTTTGGCCCCCAATCCTTCTAATTCCAAATATCCAACATCCTTGTGTCAAAGCAGACACCACTCTTACAATATTCCAACTTGGTTGCGGACATTTGGCATGATATGCCGGCAGCCCCAAAAGAAGCCGTCGAATTGGCGAGTAGCATACATGAAGAGGGCTTGCTAGTTGCCCCCCAACTCCACCTCTCAACAGGACGTGAGCAGCGTCCAGCAGTGCAACGCCTGCACGTCGCCTTGTGTGTATGCTCAAATTGACCCTGAAATGCTCCTGTAGGGCCCCCAATTGGTTGATCAAGAACCCGAGCGAGCCTGGGAAAGGATGCTCCAGTGGTTGGTGCGCCGGATCTCCTGCCATCTTCCGATGTCATTCCGAAGCGTCGCTGTGGTCCTTCTTGGAAAAAGAAGAAAAAACAAGAGGACGGCCCTTTTCAGAGTTGAACATGTCCCACCTTTCCGCCAGGTTCCCTTTCTGGATTTGTCTTGCTGGTGCTCAGCAGGGAATGAGAGGATGCCCCCTATAAACCCTCCAACTGGTGGCTTCCTTTCAGGGAATCCCCAGGTTGATGTTCCTCATTCCCTACCGATTTCGCGATCGCAAGTTGCTTCATTGCTTCAGGTTCCAGTCACAGGCAAATGGCTGTGGCTCAAAAACCCGGTACCAAAATGGAACCCTGGCAAGCGGAAACATGGACCAAAACCTGCGTAACCCCTCCTGTTCAATGTTGAGCCACACCCAAATGATTCCTTCGCCCCGCCTGGACCACCTCCTCTTCTGCAGTGCCGTAGGTCCACAAAGGGTGCAGCTCCTGACGCCGAAACCCGGCGGTCACCTTGACCACACCGGTCCGGGGGAGGGGGAGGGGGGGGTCACCAAATTCGGGTTCACCCAAACTGGCGGGGGCTCCAAAACGGGAGGGGGTTCACAAGGTTTCAAATCTTCGGACCTTGCGCCGAAAGAAAGGAGGCTTTGCCAGCGTTCTCTTGAGTTGGTTGGTCAGACAAATCTAGGCAGCTGCGCCGAAAGAAAGGAGGCGTTACCAGTGTTCTTGAGAAAAACAAATCTCTTTGGTTCAGCAAAAAAAAGGAAAAAAATGCGCGGCGGCCCCAGGAGCTCGGCATGGAGCTCCAATTCTTCGAAAACTGCACGGGTCCAAACCATCCAAACCACCCATCACAGCCCCCGGCTTCGCATGGTGTCGCAAACATCATGGTGCGATGCATGCACGTGGCGCCTGCGGCTCTTCCAACGCCCTCCTGCCTTTTGTTGCTGGTGCGATAGGTAGGGAATGACCCAGGGTTTTGAAAATGAGCCTAGGGTGTCCCTTGAAAAAAGTCATTCGGAGTTTTTTAGGGGTCATTCCCTAGCCCCAGCGAGTTGTTTCTGTTCAATAGGTTTTCTCAGGTGCAAAAAGCGCATTAAGTTTGGAACGCGGTCCTGCGAATGACGATACATGCACATGACAACCCCTCATTGGAGACAAAGCAAACCCTGTTCTTAGCCCACATCTGTGGTACACGGAAAACATGTGAGATTCTTCATATTCACTCTGTTCTAAACTACATGTTATAGTTTTGGAGACCCAAGACAAACAGGTTGCAAAATGGGGGGTGGATCAAAAGGTCCTTTACATGGGATGACCCTTGGGGAAAGCCACTAAAAAGATGATTCTTCCCACATGGCAAAAGTGACCCATGGTCAAAAAATTGGGGGGGCCCTAAATGGAATGTTGGTCAACCCCCAAATAGACTCGAGTCCACCACATCCCACCAACCTTCAACCCCCTTCCGCCCCCTTCTCGATTCTTCATATTCACTCTATTCTAAACTACATGTTCTAGTTTTGGAGACAAACACAACAAATCAACTCCAAGTGTCCCCCATCTCCCTTCAACCTTCAACCCCCCTCTTCCACCCCAGCCAGCCCCCGCCAGGGCGTACTTCATGGACAGCCCCAGCGCCCAGATGCCGCCGATGGCCACCCCCACCAGCCCCGCCAGCTGCAGCGAGGTGAAGGTGAAGCCCGCCGCGCCCAGGGCCGCCAAGCCGCCCTCCCGGAAATCCAGACATGGGGGGGAAGCGAAGAAAAATCAGGTCCAGAACAGTTTCATGAATTATGGGTTTGCCCTTTGTTGCGAGTTGGGGGGGGGACCCCCCCAAAATGGTGGCTTTCCTTGTGACATTGTGTGTTCCGAACACAGGGTTGTTGGTGTGGGTCAACTTAATATAACTAAATCTGGTCGCTTACGACCATGACTGGTCCGACTAAATCATAACCACTGCCATTGGACGGGTCCTCGGGGAGGGGCGTGGTTTTTGGTGTGAATTGGGGGCAGGGGGGGGGGTCCAAGAAACCCAGACACCCAAATGAAACACCCCAAAATCACTTGATTCTCAACTGGGACAGGTGGTTGGGGTTGGGCTTTCAGAATGACCCCCTGCTAGCCCCCTTAGGGTATGACTTTCGATCGCGGATCTGTTTGGTGAACCTCATTTATGTGATTTATGCAACCACCAACCCTTTTAGAGGTTCCTCATCAGAATTCATGACCGTAAGACTCCAACCAGGCAAAGCCCTGAGAGGCTTGCGAAGTGATGCGACGGGTACCCAACCATTCCCACAACCGAGTTCCTGCAATGTTATCCAAACAGACTGGGAAACCCCAACCAGCCCGTGCCCTGATCTTGCCCCATGTAGCAAACTCACGAGGAGTACCAAACCAAACCTCTTTGGGTGTGCCCTTTTGCACAGGTGTACGGTGCTCACCCGGCTGAAAATCATATCCCCTATTACCCACATCCCGGTTCTTTACAAGATCCTACAAGCAGATGTGACATTCTGTGGTGCGAAAGTCTTCTGCGGGCTTTGGGGCGGTTGGGAATGGCGTTTCCATTTCGACTCTGCTTATTAATAGGGAGGTCCTTCTCCTCGGGTTTAGTGGTTGGAAGCAGACCACTTTTGGAGGGCCCCCACCCCTCTATAAACAAACTGGTTGATGAATATGGGGTCAACATTATTGATACGCCTGCAGAGGCTGGAGTGCTGAAATGGATCAATGCCATGGGAGCAACTTCAAGCAATGGCCGGCCGCGGCTTTTTTCCTGGTCCAATGCAATAGTCATGCTCCCACACATCTCATGTCCAAAGAACTACGGCAACATGCTAAGTGTTGCACGACAGAAACTCCAGACACATTCGGACAAAGATTGGCTTGCAGCAAGCAGCGCGAGTCTTAGCGGACATGTGCATTGCCAGCCCCCCCCCCCCCCCACCCCCCCCACCCCCCCCCCCCCCCAAAAAAAAAACAAAACATGAAGTTTCGCCCCCCCCCCCCCCAAATATAAATATATATATATATATACACAATATATATATATATATATACAATATATATATATATATACTACATATATCAAAAAGCATGGAGAAGCCGTCTCGCAAAACTCCGCCTCGGTGGCCGCAAGACGGCCCACGGTGAGCGCCGTGAAGGTGAGCATCGCCGCGCTCTCCACGGGGTAGTTGGCGCGCAAGTGGTCCGTCCCTTGTTGGAAAATCCCACGGGTGGGGTGGAGAAAATCGGAGGGGGTGGGGCGGGGGGGGGGGGGGGGTTGGGGGGTTGGAGAAAATCGGGGTGGGGGGTTCTCAATATACTGACAAAATCCTGCTAAGCAACCCTTCCCCTGGAAATCCTGCGATGCTTCCCCTGGAAATCCTGCTAAGAAACCCCTGGTTTCTGATGCTTCGCTTGCAAATCCTGCTAAGAAACCCCTGGTTTCTGATGATTCCCCAATAAACATGGTTTCAACCATGGTTTCCAAGTGTTGCGAACAGATTTCGTCCACCCACAGGGGGCCCCTTTTTGGACGGTAAATTGTGGGGTCCCCGATTTTGAGAAACGGTTGACCATTAGCTAAGGCCTGGAAAAGGGGGCTTTCCGCATCGGGAAAAGAGCCAAGATTTCAATTACACACAGCTTCACCACCGAGATCTTGCAACATGGCAGCCCAATAAAAGATTCCTCTGAACATGGTGAGTTGCGTGCCTGCCCAATGGTCAATTGCATGGTCACAGTTCATTTAGGAACAAAGCCCCAAGAAACTCCAAGTCTTTTGACCAAAGCAAAAAAAATAACTCGTAGGGCAAAAGATCCCCAGTCTGAGAAAATATATTCCTCCGCCCACATGAAAAAAGACCTTGAGCCGGAGGCAGGGGGCTTTCAACCCCCTTGGGATCACCCCTCCGGATCCGAATCCAACACCTCTCCGGCCCAATCGCAGCCCCAGACCCCCGGAGGGCCCGAGGCCCTGACCTGGGCACATGATCTCGCTGCGGCTCACGCACTCCGCGGACCCGGACCGCTCCAGGCCGGCCTCCTGCAGCAGCCGCAGCGCCACCAGCAAAATCCGCTCCTGCGGCTCAACGAGCGCGCGCGGATTCGCGTCGTCACACCCGAAGATCCCATGAGGAAAGATCGGAGCATCAGATCCGGGCGGCGGAGTTTGTTGCTCAACCCTAAGAATATGAAGTATGCTTGTTGCGCAAACTGAAGCTACGCAGGTTTGTTTGGGGGGGGGGGGGAGATTCCCCAAATGTTTGGGGGGGATGGGTGTGGTTCAGCAAAATTAGGTCTTATTTGACGGGAACCTAAAGCAGGTTGTTTGCAGAACAGGTGTTACATATTTAAACCGAGGGGGTTGGCCCCACGAGCTCTCAAAATGGGAAACCCAAGTCTGAGACCGGTATCAAAAGGGAAAAGGAAACAGACCAGCCGGAGGTCCCTAGATTTGAGAACCACCCGGTATGGGAATGACAGGTCGCAACTGATGTTTTTGGCGGAGATGACATGCGGCCGGTTGAGCAAAGCCTATGTGTCGAGTCTTCTTCCAGTTGACTTGGGCGCTGGCTACTCAACTGTGGCAGGGCAAAATCAATGACCCTTGACTGGTGGCTCACTGAGCTTTGCCCTGGTTTCAAAGGAGCGGCCCAGTCTCTGTGCCCACTTTCATCATGGAACGCCACTCGTAAAAGGCCCACCCACGCCTTACTTGCTAAGGAGATGGCCAACGACCAAGAAACGTGATGCGCGCAAACAAATCAAAGACCGCGTTCCTTTTGGAACGCCTCCTGCGGGGCGCGCCTGGGCACGCTGCATGCACTCCTCCAGCCGGACATGCAGCTCCCTCTCGATCTTGGGCACCAGCCTTGGGCAGTCAACGGCGCCAAATTGGTTGGCTGTCTTCTGGAAACTAAACAAAAAAACGGTTGTAGAAAACCCAGCCTCCCATGGCGTACCTTTCTGTTCTGTTTTGCTTCCCTTTAACCATGGTGAAGCTCGGAAAAAGAGCGGTTGGCCGGCGGCTCCCCACCGTTTGCTTCAGGCGGGCAATGGGTCGTTTTTGCTGGTCCCAATCCGCTCGCCTGGCTCAATCCCAGGTCCCCAAAAAAGCGCCGCAAGTGCAGCCCGGCAGTCTGACCTGACTGCCTGATTTTTTTGGTCAGCCCTATGGAAGCAAAGCATCCCGACCGAAGCTCTGGCCGGCGATTGAGCTAATCCTCAGCACCCTGTCGGCGTTGCCATGGGGAGCTCTCACATAAACGAAGCATATGAGCGCCAGAGCTCAAAGCAAGGTGACTCACTTGGCTGTGTCAAGGGAATCTTTGGGAACCCGGCCCATTGATAGCCTCCTGAACTCACTGAACAAAGGGCAATGGGGAAACATGCAAACATGCGCGATGACGCTTGAAAAAGAAACCTCCCCCTCGATGATTGGCTGTGTGCGTGTGAGTGCATTTTCACATTGTGCAGCCCTCCACTCTATCCCGTCCCCTTCGTCCCAAATGGGCTGTGTGTACTTTCGGTTCTCTTTAAAAGACAAGCCCAAACGGAAGGACCCTCAAAGCACAATCTCATTTCAGCGCATACCCAATCAGCAATCAGGATCTCATTCACCTGTCTTAGTTACCCATGAGCTCTGGAAAAAATCCTATTCCTCCTGGAATTAGTCATTTGTTTGATCTTAGCTGGGTAGTTGATGCAATATTGCCAATTGAAGATCCTTAGCTACGTCATGTCCATTATTCCTTGATAACACGATTACTAGTTAAAATCAATGGTTTTAGCTACGTGACCACTGACCCACTTGGCAGTTGCAATGGGGTAGATCGACCAAGGACAGTCTCCCTGTGGTTTTTTGGCCCCAGAAATAGCCAGAAACCCTTGGCTCTTCCAGGAACCCCTCCCCATGTTCTGCCTGAGATGAACAGGGAGATCTTCCCCCAGTGAAGGATCCTCTCATTCAACACCGACACCCGGCAGCCCGGGGCCCCGGCGCCGCTAGGAGGCTCTTCATGTAGACGTGCCGCACCCAGCGCGCGGAGCCGCCCTCCTCCCGGACCTGGTCACCTGAGGGTTCATGCGCTTCGAGTGCGGGGTACACTATGCCCCAAAAAACAGATGTGGTTGAAACGCAAGTGGCACGTTATCAACTCAAATTGGGAAAGGACTTCTTGTTCCATGCTTTTCAAAGGGAAACCAACCTGTTCGTGAGAGCCCTCATTTTGGAACACGCCCATTTGGGCTGCACTGCGAGGGGGGAGGCCTTTGAAAACACCCAAAGTCTCCGAAGCCCTGATTTGCGGTGGGTTCTGTACGCGGGTTGCCAATGGAAAATTCCCTCAACGGCCGAATGGCTTGGTCCCAAAAAATCGAAACTTGTTGATGTCCTTTTGGTTTGTCTTGAAACCAACCCAAACAGGCCACCCCCAAAACAGACGAGCCACGATCCCAACTGGATCCTCAAGAACCACTTTTTGGCCTTCCGGGTCCCTCTACACACGCAGCAAAGAGACTCAAGAAGCTGCCGCCTGGCAGATCAATTGGGGCTCGTCTTTTTTTAGACCCCCTTTTGGTTGGGTTTGAAGGGGAACGAAAAGGAAACCGACATCCCTATTTTTTCTGCGGGGGGCACCCTTTTCCTCTTGAAGGGACCGGTTTTTGGCAGATGCCACATGCGTCACTTCTCTTAGACGTCTGAAATTGATGGCTGTCCACACGGAGCTGTGGACACTAAAAGAAGGTGGCTATGGTGGATCCGGCGTGGATTCCCAAGAAGCAAAGCGGCCTGCTTGTTTGCAGAGCTCTTGTAGCTGCTGATCGCGCACGGTGTCAATCTCCTGCTTGATCTCCCGCTCCAAGTGCTCGGCTGCCTCATCGGCTGCGGCTTGCATCTCTTGCGCGTAGTAGTCGCTGGCGGCGACCGTTCCTCCGGCTGTATGCAAGACCTCCCCCACCAATATTGAAGGAGGGGTTGCGATGGCGTGCTTGCTTGCTTCTTCATTATGCAGCATATGAGCACGATAAACTCAAATGATGGGGAGTTGACAGGTGCACCGTGACAAAGCCGTGCCAACTGCTGTTGCCCTCGCATACGAGCGCAATTTCCGAGCTTCGGAAGGGGGGGGGACGGGGGTTTGAACTCACGTGGCAACCCTCAAGTCGCAACTGAAAATGACTTCACCCTCGTTCCAACCGCCTGGGAGGGCCACCCACTGAAACCAAAAACCACTTCGCCCTCGTTCTAGGCGACACTTCCATTTCCATTCTTCCACTGATCCTTCTTCCAGAAAACCATCAGAATCCCAGGGGAAACAGCTGGTTCTTAAAAGGAACGACGGTTGGAAAGAATGGAGAAGGAATCAACCATTAGAAAAAGAGGTCAGCCGTCTTTTTCGTCTTGGAGCTGAGTGGATGGGATAGGTTGACTTGGGGATTCCTTCATTCGGGGTTTATGAGTAATAACCCCTTCGCCCTCGTGCCCTGAACCAAACATGTTTTTTTTTTTCTAGTTTTCTTTAGAAGTTGGACCCCCCCCCCATAAAATGGTTTTTGTTTCCAGTAGTTGCCCTAAACAGCTTCTAAAAAAAAAAACACACATGGTTGACCAGAATGGGGAATCAACCCCTAGACTCGCTGGGGCTCCGAACCTCTGAACCTCTGAACCTCCAAGCGCCGAAGAATTGCGCGCCTGGGGAGGTGTTCAGGCGCTTGGTGTACTCGTCCGTGAGCTCCGCCGTGCGCACCAGGGCGCGCTGGGCCTGGCTGCTCAGCACCGTCTGCTCCTGGCGATGCAAAGGGGGCAAGGGGGGGCGGGCGTTCTCGGGGGGGAGGGGGGGGAGGAGGAGAGGGGGGGTTGGGGAAGGGCGGCGGGGCGGTTTTTGCATTGTGGGTGTGGGTTTTTGTACCTTTTATGTGGCTTTGAAGGGAGCCCAAAGGAACACCGCTCACTTTGGGGTCCCATTTTGACCAACGCAAAGTGTTTCGTCTTTGCTTCAGCCCGGGGATGGGGCCGCCATTCTGGGGGTAGTGTTCGGATAAGAGCCCCGGGTCAAAGGGAACTCAAAGTCCGAAGCGACGAAAAAACAAAGCAAGCCCAAAAGGGGGGTAACCAAATTTGAGGCATGCCCAAATCCGTGCCTTTGAGACTTGTTTGCGGAACCCTTTCTCGGGGTTGATTCCCCATCCTTCTCAACTATCGTCCTTCTCAAACACCGGATCCGTTTTCCCTGGGTTTCCAGAGGTTTTGTTCGGCGCATTCAAACCATGGTCTCTGCCAGATACACTTGTGAGCTGTTCCCTAAATATTCAGCCATCGTAGAGGCAGGGGTTGAGCAGGAGGCTAGCAGGATTGCATGTTGAAAAACCCTTCGAGGGCAGCGCTGTTCTTTTCCTTTTTACCGGGGTCCCTCCACGTCTTGGGCCATTGTTCGCTCGTGAGCTTCCTTGGGTGACGCTTTTTCGCGCGCTTTTCACGGCCAAGTTGCAGGCTTTCCAAGGAACGGAAAGCGAATCAACCTGTCCTAGGGGACGTTCCCTCCAAAAAGTGAAACCCCTTCTAGTGGGGACACCCCCCATGTTTCCATCAACCAGAGGTCCACGAGTCGGGGGTTCCCAGTAAATCTGGAAGTTTGCAGAAGCTTTCCCAAACAACGACCAGTGTCAAAGAAGCGATGGGCGTCCATTGGCTTTTGGGAGATTCAGGTTTATTGGTCTTCTGAACTACCGATTGCCTCAATTGTCACCTCCCTCTCAGTGGAGACCCAAGTGAAAACGCTATGCTTTTAGCAACTCGGGATCTTCAAATAAGATGCAAGATGTCCTCCCTCACGTCTTGCCAAAAAGGACGGTATCGCTCCCAGCAGCGATACTGGCCCGTATACCGAACAAGCAACCTTCGGCCATATCGCACGGGAAAAAAATATCCAACATGGCAAACAAATATAATCCCACCACACCTGAGTATTATATATATAACATATATATATATATGTATATATATATATATTCAAACACCTCAGAATTTATGTATACATATATATATATATATATTCAGACATGCAAGCGATCGGATCGCCTGCTGCAGCTCGAGGAAGATCTGCTTCACGTGGTGTCGGATCTCCTGGCGCACGGGTGGTCTTCCGTCCGCAACGAGAAGGCCACATCGGCCCAAACGATGTGCCCAGAACCATTCTTCAGGCTGAGACACTGCCGAATGGGAAGACAACAAGATCAGGGGACCCGTTTTCCAGGTTCCAATGCACGGGTTCCAGCTTGCACCAAAGAAAAACCGTGTGTGCGTGTGCTTCCGAGAACACACTTGTTAGAACCCGTCGGTAGCCTCCGGGCAAAATTCCTGGCCGCACTTCCCCGCAATTCACCCGCCCATCGGCGAACGAATGCCGCAGCCCCAAGGAACGAGACTTAAGCCCATCCACAGGGGTGGGAGCAGCGCCCTCTTGACCCGGATGGCCTTGAAAGCATCTTCACTTTGTCAGGGCCCAAAACCAACTGGGAGCCTTAGGGTTCCGCCTAAAAATAATGCATCCAAAAACCACCTGCTTCAAAAGGGGAAGCTCCAAATCAGCAGGTAACATATATATATATATATATATGTGTATCTATATATATATATACATATGTATCTATATATATATATAAAGAACAACAACGCATTGAGCAAAAAAAAACTTTCGACACCGACATCTCTCCGTTTTGGCTACATCCCTTCTCCACCCGCGGAGTCCGATCCGCTCCTTGAGCCATCCCTGGGCCTCCTGAAGCGGCAAGTACTTCTGCAAGACCTGCGTTTCAAAAATATCAGGCGCCCAAAGGATAAGGTCGTGACGAAACATGGAACCTAAAAATAAAACGTGGCTCAACATAGGGGCTCCGAAGCCCTATGTTGGTTCTGTTCCGTTTTTTTGGTGTCCCTTTGAAACCAAGCAAAAGGGGGTCACACGAAATAAAGAAAACGTACAAACAAGTCAAAGGCGATCACACAAAGGCCGCTAAAATGGACGGGGAAACTAACATTTGTCATGTCAGGTCGAACCGCTTTAGTGAGCAATTTGGTTCCATGGCGCGGCTTACAAGCCTTCCAGGATTTTTAGGCAGGCAGAATCTAAGCTGGGTCAACTCGAGCTGCCCAAATGGGCTTGCTTGAATTTTCGGAATCGCGGCCCGTCACGTCTCTATTGAGTTACCCTTCTTGGGGCTTAGTTGAAAGGGGAAACAAAGGGAAAAGCAAATCCATTTTGTGGGCCCCCGAACCAGAGTCAGCCTCCACCATCGGCGACCTGCGTAGTATCCCAAGACCACACAAAGCGGCGTGAAGGAGTCGCAAACCTGAAATTGAATTTTGAGTCTGCCCCAAAGCAAGGATTCAGAAAACCGGATATCCGCACCTTACTCGGGACACCAGCCAACCTCCGGAGATCTGCACCTTACTTGGGCCACCAGTCCTTCCCCCTCATCATCCACTGCGTTCCTCGGGCCTGGTTTTGATCATCCTCGGGGTCCATCAGCAATCCGCCGGCGTGCCGGAAGATCCGGCCGCCGCTGCTGTGCCCCAAGATGTCCCGCTGGAACTTGGTGACCAGGCTATCCGCCGCCTGCCTCTTGGTGACCTTCTG